CCAAGTACCTCCTGTTGTTCCTGCAACTCCTTCACCCACAGCAGTACCTGAGGTGGCTTCTGGAAGAACTACAGATGTAATCCAAGCTGTTGCAGAACAGAGCTTCGCTGAACTGGGACTAGGGTCATACACCCCAGTGGGATTGATCCAGAACCTCCTGGAATTTATGCATGTTAACCTGGGCCTTCCTTGGTGGGGGGCCATTGCAGCATGTACAGTCCTTGCCCACTGCCTCGTTTTTTCCTCTCATCGTAAAGGGCCAGCAAGAGGTAGCCAAGATTCACAACCACTTGCCAGAGATCCGGAAGTTTTCCACTAGAATCAGAGAGGCCAAGTTGGCAGGAGACAATGCTGAGTTTCACAGGGCCTCCAAGGAGATGACACTTTACCAGAAAAAGCAAGATATTAAATTCTTTAAACCCCTCATTCTGCCTCTGACTCAGGCACTAGTCTTCATCTCCTTCTTCATTGCCTTGAGAGAGATGGCCAACCTTCCTGTGCTCAGTATGCAGACAGGTGGCCTCTGGTGGTTCCAGGATCTCACTGTATCTGATCCCATCTACATGTTACCGATAGTAGTCACTGCTACAATGTGGGGTGTCCTGGAGCTAGGTGCTGACACAGGTGTGCAAAGTTCTGACCTTCAGTGGATGAGAAATGTTATCAGAGTGATGCCCCTGGCAGTCTTGCCCATAACCATCCACTTCCCCTCGGCAGTGTTCATGTACTGGCTCTCCTCCAATATGTTTTCCCTGGGCCAAGTAGCCTGCCTCTGACTACTGTACACACTGTACTTAAAATACCCCAGCGTGTTGTGCATGACCCTGACAAATTATCTCCCCGGGAAGGCTTCATAAAGAGCTTCAAACAAGGCTGGAAGAATGCTGAAATTGCACATCAGCTCCATGAGCGTGAACGACGCATGCAGAACCACTTGGAGCTAGCAGCCAGGGGTCCCTTACAGCAGACCTTTACCCACAGCCCTCTACTACAACATGAAAAGAATCACCCTCCCAAAATCCCCAGCAGCAGCAGCAGCAACAGCAACAACAGCAACAAACCAAAGTCAAAGCAGCCCTGGCGTGACACACTTGGCTGACTTATGTTCTCTGCTCATTCTGTCAGGAACTCTGTCTCCTCAAAGAACCATCCTAAAGACAGACTTGATGCTTTGTCCTTGTATCAGGCCTAGGAACTGTAGGATATGGAAATGTTCGTTTTAAAAACTGATTCCACTACAAACTCTTATTCCTGCATATAAAAGTACAGGGGAGCCAAGCAATCTTCCTTTCCATAGGATTAGGAAACTTCTGTACTACATGCTGCTTCCTGATACTTTATTAAACAGAGAAATAGACTGTGTACTTCAGAGAAATGAATAGGTTGGGTCAAGACTGCTTTTGATAGCCCATGCTCTTGGGAAGTATCTGACCATTTTTACCTGGCATTAAGACCTTACACTTCTACCCTGTGTGCGTGTTCCAGCCACATTTGCATTGTGGTCATAGAGAAATGACTGATAAGATTGTATCTGAGAATTATAACCACATTTCTTGATAAATTATACAATTTCCATTTCCATCAAGAAATAGATTACTCAGATTTTTAGTGAAAATTAAGAATGAAAGGTGATGTTTTTATGCAAAAACTTAAAAGGAAAAAAAAAGAAATGCACACATAGACATTTATTGGGGCTTTATACTTGATTAACTTTGGGTAAATGTTCAATTTTTAAATAATGGGCATTCCATTTTGGTTATAGGATTTCATATATACATATAAATACAATACACATACATATAAAATACATATATGTACATATATTGTTAGTTTGCAAGATCTGTAAAGCTGAGAGAGATTTATGTTTAAAAAAAGATTTCCATGATGACTGCGTATTGTCAGTTCTTCATTATAATTCTTTCTTTTTTCTTTGTATTTTTCCAGCTATATGTTAGTTGCATACTTGTTTGTAATTATACTATCTCCTACAGGATTCTTCTTTGTGATATAATAAGAGTCAAATTTTTGTCTTTATTAATGTTACTCAATAAATAATACTTGACAATTAATAGTTCCATAAAGTTGTTTGGTTTATAATTCGTGTAGTATGTCTTTTTCTTTTTTATTTTCTATACTTTAGTTGTTTAGTTTTAAATATTTTAATAGCTTTAGTCTTAATTGTCTTAGGAATAATAGTATGGCTTGTTAATGAGGTATGTCGCTCACATGTCCTCTCTGTTGGGCTATCTCTTCTCATTGCCTAGATGTGACCTTCAATAAATGTTCTGTGTTTCTGGCATCTCTAAGATCTTGGGATCTTCAATGCAGCTCCAGTTTCAGTTTCACAGCTTCATAATTGCCCTCTCAGGGGCCACTCACAGGAATTCCCTCCCTGCTCACACACTGCCTGGCCTCCCAGGCCTTCCTTTGAAATCTCAGTGGAAGCCTCCTTGGTCCCCTAACTTTGACATTTTGCATTCCTGTGAAACCAGCACCAATGTGGATGAAGCCAAGGTCCACCACCAACTCGAACAGTAGCAGGCCTGCTTGGACTCTGGCTGTAGTGGTCTCTGAGTGCCTGGATGACTGAGCACAGTGAACCAAATCCTGGGGAAATATCTTTCTAGGTGGCCCTGTGGCAGCAGGGTGCTACTACAGTCTCTTCTTAAAGCAAAGTTTTTCAAATGAGTCTTCATTTTTACACCTTTGAGCCTGTGAATAATAGGATCTTACTGATTCCTCAGGTGCCCTCAAGGCAACTTTCCTATTAGCTCTGTGCAAAGAACTTGGTTTCTCTTTAATGGCTCTAATATCTTTAGCAACCACAATTTTATATGCACTTTTCTGGTTAAACTACAAGTTTTTTTAAATCTTTCTGCTCTGCTTTTTTATCCTAATTCTCACAGTAAACCTAGCCAAAAGCTACCAGCAATACTCATGCCACTCCTCAAATGCTATGCTGCCTTGAAATTTCCTCCACCCAATTAATTATCCCATGACTTTAAATTCATCCTCATTGAAATACCCAGGACATGCACAAAATGTACCCAAGTCCTTTGCCAGAATGTAACATGAATGACCTCTAGTCCAGTTTCCAATAGAGTCCTCACAATTCCATCTGAAACCTCATGAGCTGGGCAAAGTGGCATACACTTGTAATCCCAATGACTCAGGAGGCTGAGGCAAGAGGATCACAAATTCAAGGCCAGTCTCAGAAACTTAGCAAGACCTTGAAGAAAAATAAAATTAAAAAGGCTGGGGACATAGCTCAGTGATAAAACCCCAGGTTCAATCCCCGGTAATAAAAACAAAAAGTCTGAAACCTATGCACACAATCTTTACATACTGTTGGCATTCTGTTCCTTTGAGCTTCCACCGTAATTGCCCACTAAATTCTGCCTACAACATTTTAAGGCCTCTCTAGTCTGCATCTCCAGACTTTTCCAAACTCCTCTCACAAACCAGTTCCAAACACTTCTGAACACATGGTCAGGTATAGTCACAGCAAAGCCTCCACTTCTGGGACCAAAATCTGTACTAGGTAGGGTTCTCTAGAGGAACGGAACTAATAGGAAATGTATGTGTACCATTATAAAACAGGATTTATTAGGGTGTCTTACATCATCAGAAGCTGGACAGTTACTCAATGACTATCTGCACACTAGAGAACCAGAAGAACCAGTAGCTGCTCAGTCTAAGAAGCTAGAGCCTCAGAATGAGAGGGACCAATGGTGAAGCCACATCCAAGATTAGAGGCACGGAAACTCCCTCAGGAATAGCTTTACAATGGAAAAGTGAAGAAGCTGACATCCACACACAGTGGCAGCAGCAATAGACACACCTGCTCAAGAATAACAGAGCTTGCATCTTCTACGGCTTCCTCTGTTCACTTTGCTGCTTCTGAGTTTCCTAGCTACAGAACAGTGCTGCTCACATTCAGAGCAAATCTGCCCTTCAGTTTACTGTCCCACATGCCAATGTCTCTGGAAACACCCATTAATCTCTTAATCCTAGGTTTATCTCATTCCAATCAAGTTAATAATCCAGATTAACCATCAGAGATATATTACCAATACTCTCTTCTAGTCCTCGAGCATAAGCTATTTCTTTGTGTCTTCTTCAGTTTCTTTCACCAACATTTCATAGTTTTCATTATATTAGTCTTTCATTTTCTTAATTAGATTGATTTTTAATTTCTACTGTTTTGATGCTACTATTAACTGTTTTCTTAATTTCATTTGGGGTTGTTATTGTTAGTGTATAAAAATATAACTGATGAATACTGCTATGGTATCCTTCAACTTTGCTGAATTTAGTTATTTTAAAATTTTTTTATGGAATATTTAGGATTTTCTACATACAAGACCATGTCATCTATGAACAGAAACTATTTCTTCTTTTCTAATTTAGAGAATTTTCTTTCTTTTTCTGTCTAATTGCTCTGGTTATGACTTCCAATACTATATTGAATAGAAGTGTTGAGAGCAGGGATTCTTGCCTTTTCCCTGATATTAGAGGAAAAATTTTCAGTCTTTTCTCATTTAATATGTTAGCTGTAGGTCTTTTGTAGGTAACCCTTATTCTGTGGACAAAATCTCTTCTATTCTTAATCATTCAGTGAAAAGATATTTGCATCCTGTCAACTGCTCCTTCTGCATCTGTTGAGATGATTTTATGTGTTTTGTCCTTCATTCTCTTAATGTAGTATATTATACTGAGTGATTTTATATGTTAAACCATCCTTGCATCCTAGGAATAAAGATCACTTAGTTAGAATACATACTCATTTTAATGTGCTGTTGAATTTGATTTGCTAGTACCATAATCTTTTTATTGTTCTAATCTTAGTTTAGACACTATCAAAGGAACACATTTATGGCTTTAGTTTTAAATGCAGCATAACATGAAAATGCTTTGAATATTGATTATCAGGTTACTGTCTCGAGGAATGAGAATTCAATTCTGTGCTTGAAATATTGACAAATATTAAGATAGCCATGTTAGGTTATACAGATTGTTTTATTTGAGGAATTGAACATTACCTCCTACATAATATGCTTCAATCTGAATGTCAAACAACAAAAAAAAAGCTTATTGGGAAGGTACCATGAAACAGTTTGGCCAATAGCATTGGATTTTCACGTTTATGACATATGATGTGTCTATAAACATACAATAAATAAAGAGTATGATTAAGATATTCCAGGAACTCCATTCTTCTCCAACGAATACAATAATTCAAACTTTAGGGTAATTAAAATATAGCCCTTTGTATATAGTAATTTGCAAGTACATAGTGTGACAAAGAGTCTCTCCTTGATCAAATTCCAGCCAGGTTCTTCTGAGTCCTTCCTCAACTAGCCTCCAGGGACTTGAACAAAACACTAATGCAATTTCTAATAGCTCTGTACCACACCCCAGGATGACTGAGTTTGTTAGTAGGTATTCTATTGCTGTGACAAAATTAGTTGAGAAAATCAACTTACAGAAGGAAAGATTCATTTTGGCTCAGAGTTTTGAGGTTTCAGTCCATGGTCAGTTGGTTCTAAGGCAAAAACATCATGGCAGAAGGGCATGGTGAAGGAAAAATCATCACCTCAAGCATCTGAAAAGGAGAGAGGGAAAGACCTTAGAAACAGAGAGGAGGAGGAAGGGATCAAGAACACGATACAGCCATCCAGGGCATGCCCCCATTGACCTACTTCCTGCAATGAGTCCTCACCTCCTACAGTTTCCATCCCTACCCGAATAATACAATCAGATTATCAATCCATCCATGGATTTATCCAAATGAGATCAGAGCCATCATGATCCAATCACTTCCCAAGAGTCCCACTTCTGAGCAAAGCTATATTGGAGACCAAGCCTTCAACACATTAGCCTTTGGGAGAATTCCAGAGCCAAACTATAACACCCAGGACCTGTTTAAACCACGGCCAAAGAAATCTCATGTCTGTCAAAAGAGTTTATTATGGGCTGGGGATGTGGCTCAAGCGGTAGCGATCCCCAGCACCACATACCAACAAAGATGTTGTGTCCACCAAGAACTAGAAAATAAATCTCTCTCTCTCAAAAAAAAAAAAAAAACAGTTTATTATTTATTCCAGCCACCACCTGAGATTGTGTCCCTGTCTCCCAGCCTCTCTGGGAAGATGGGAGCCCAACTTCCTTAATCTTCATTTAACGGTGATCCTAGACGGACTGCATACGGACCAACCCCTTCCTTCTTATTTTGTAACTTTTCATTGCCCCAATGCTGAACCTACCAGTTCATTCCCCTATTCCTTTACGATCACCTCGGTACAACCTGAAGTTCAGTTCAGTTCATGCTGGAATCCGCCCTATTATCATAGCATACTACCGATTATAAACTGTCTTCACTTTAACTAGTGGCTTTATCTTTGACAAGACCATAAAGGTGGATTCCTTTTTCCCCTCAGAGGCAGAGGCTTCTTTAGAAAAGTAGGCACACATTCAAGGAAGAATGCAGGCCATCTCCAGAGGGAGGACAGGCCGGATTCTTTGTTCTGAGTAGAGGTCTTACCATATGGCAGGCACTGGGGACCACGAGAGACGGGATTCTTTGGAGTTAAGTTCCAAAGGTCCCTACTTTTGGAAATTGACACCAGGTAAATGGAATTCCTACTCGGCTTCTCAATTCATTGGATTTGCAGGGACTGGCCCGAGATTGGAAATAGATTAACAGCTGTGTACAACGCTCAGGGATGATTTGTCAAATTCCTAGAAACCTTCTGCCAGGCGAGACCCAAACTGGGAGCACAGGAAGAAGAGAATCTCGCAACAAAACTTAGGACTCGAGGAAGCCAAAGGAGGAAACAAAACTGTACCCTCTACCTAAGAAAACCAGGAGCTGCTCAGAGCCAGAAAACGTCACCGCCCGCTGGGATCTGCGCCTGCGCACTGGAGGGCACCCCTACAACACACGCCAGGTCCCTAGCGACAGCGCATGCGCCCTAGCACCGCAGCGCCCCCTCCCCCCCCCCCGCGCGCATCTGCGCCTGCGCAGCCGTGGTATCTACAACAGGCGTTGAAGGTTGCTAGGGAGAGGAGTGGAACACTTTGTGCTAGCTGTTCTGAGGTTTTCGAAGTGAGTCACCTGATAGGCGGTGTTCGGGCACAGGTGAATTCACAGCAGAGTCCTTGTCTCCGATCTTGTAATGTGTTCTTAGAGTTATCTCATGAGACTCAGATGCTAGTATCCGGAAAGCCAAAAAGTTAAATATCAAAGTTTGTTTGGAAACAGCTCCTGCCTGGGAGGAGGGAGAATGTTTTTATCTGAAGACACCCACGAAGTGATGGACACTTCAATATGTCATCCCTTCTTTGACCTCCGTAGGGCTCAGAATTCTAAAGCTGAGTGATAGTTGGTTTGAAAAAAGGAAAAGGACACACGGAGACCCTTACATATGCACAGAATATTTTTTTATTATGAACCCGCGACTGATGAGGGTATTCGTTCCTTCAAGGGGTGGGATGGGGGAATTGGATGGCTAGAGGATGGAATGGAAAAGAAAGAGGGTTTGTTTGTATTGTATGAAATTTGTCCAGTGTGCATGTACTACTTTTTAAATGTTTGAATGTTTACTTGACACCTTTATCAAAATGTAGACACCAAGGACATTCAGGAATTTAAGAGGACTAAGCAGAATTCTTTTAGTAATGCGGGATAGAATTATCTATACATGCGAAGCTAAAATGTCTTGTGTAAAGCACAGAGTCTTCCTGTTTATTTCTGGACAGAGATCTATGGGGGGGTTGGTAGCAGGAGACAGGAAAAGAGGAGCCAGGCATTTTTTGAAATTTTTTGGCAATGCTCTCATACAGGAAACTGACATCTTTATCATTTCAATCATTGTGTATTCATTTTGGATCTGCTGAAGAGCATTGAAAGACAAACGTTCGTGTGAACTCCCTGAACTCAAACATGGATCGGAAGGGGAATTTAATCTTTATTATTGTAAAGGTAATTAATTAGATGTGACTATTAGGGTTAAGGCCCAAAGTTCCTCTTCTAGTTAAGAAAACTTCCTTTGGTGAGAAATGTCCACATTGGTTAAGGTGTAGTCCCATCCCCAACCAACCTTGCTAGATAATTTTGGGCTTCCCTTCTCTAAGGGAAGTGTCAAAAGAAAAAACTAAACAGGTAACTGTACCTAAGAGAATTTGCAGTCAAAATGTTCATGCAAATCTGGAAGACCTCTCATTGGCTAGTCAAGCTGAACTTTGTGTCCCAATGAGCAGTTACTGGGTCTAGGCAAGGGTACCAGAGGATGGGGATCCAAAAAAGTTGAAAGTATGAAGTTCAAGGGTAGAGGTTATAATTTGTTACTTTTGGGTTTCCCTTGTTTATAAGTAGAAAGCCAGAAGTTGAGCTCCCAAATAAAATATTCTAGAAGTTATGTTTCTTAAGTAACTCCAAAAATTAGTACATCTATGAAGAAATAAATCCTACAAAGAAATAAGCCACCTGGCTAATATATCAACAGACAGAGTAGGGCCTGGAGATTCCCCTACAGAGGAGGAAAAACACATCACAGAGAAGCATACTTGATACAATTTATTTTAAAAAAGAAGAAAAAATAATTTATGTCCTTGGCAAAATAAAAGATCTAGTAATACAAATGTTTTAGAAAACATGAAAAGATAATATAACAAATATTAATAAATCAATATTAACATCACAGCAAAAGTGATAATGATTCTGTAACAATGACAAGTGAGGATATTTTTGGCCCATACACAGCAGTATTTCTTGAAGGTCCTCTGATTTCTCTTTTCTCTTAAAACAAGATGTGGTCTCATTTTAAGAAAGCCTGATGCATGTAAAACTAAATTTAGGAAACTGATCAATTAAAGGTTATTTATCTGCATCACAAAATAATTCTTTACCAAAATAATCCATGAAAATATTTCTTTAAATGATCCTTCAAATAGCAAATTTCCAAATGTGTTTATAATAAAACCAGCCAGATACATGTTTCTCTGTGGCAAAAATGAGGTATACCTGAAACGAAGCAGTAACAGAGTTGGGCGTCAAACCTGTCTGGACAGTGTCCTTACTTAGACCATAAGGAAATAGTTGGGGGCACCTGTTCTCACAGTCTTTTGTTTCTCCCACCTTGAACTCTTACTTTTATAGGCTTAACTGCTTTCTGGTAAACTTTGTTCACCTGGTATTCTCAGGAAAAAAAGGAGGAAGCCATATGAGAGGGGGACAAATTAAATAACTAGTGAGTCACTCTAGCCAAGCAGAGCGAGAGGAGAATCTGGGGTTCAGAGTGTGCATGTGGATGTGAACGGGGGAAAGTAGGAACAATCCTGAATCCCTGACATGATGCTTTTGAGGCTCCTCTCCCTGTGGGGGTGTCTGACTCACTGAGGAGCAGCAGAGCCCAGTCCAACCCTCCTCAGAAGGGACACATCTTCAGGAGAATAGAGGAGGGTCTATTTGTCACACTCCTCCTGGCTCCCTTCAGTACAATGATAGTGCTGCTCACAGAACTCCTGGATCCGGCTACAAGCCTCCAGCATCATCACCTCGGGGACAGTAATTACCACCCGGAAGAAATTCGGGTACTCGAAGCACTGCAAAAATAAGAACCTGTTATTTTCAGAGCAATTGAATCTGGCACTGGACCACCCTAAAACAGCAGGTCTCTCGCCAGCAAGAAGTGCTGGCGTTTCACCTAGGGTATCCATCCACCCCTCCTGAACACCAGGGTGCTGAGTCAGTAACTGAGTTAATTCATCTTGAAATGGACTGTGGGTCAAGCGTGAATGTGTCTCGCCTAGCATGTTTGTTATAAACATGGGTTATCTCACCCACTATGGATGAGATAATGATGGGGAGAAACAAACTTTAAATTGAAGTCATGAGACATATAAATGTGAATCATGACAAATGAGAATATACTTTGTTGGAGGGGAAAAGGTCAGGCTAGCCCCTAGCTCAGGGAGAGCTCCGGGAGCTCCAGAAACTGTTGAGAGTGTCCTGAGAAATGCACAAGTACTCACCGTTGCTGGGAGGCAGTGGACAGACTGTTCAGCAACTAACCGCTCTGTGAACTCCACATCGTTTTCAAATTCTGGGAAGTGTTCCATCTCAATTCCAACCTGTACCAATAATAAAAGGGAGAGGCTATCTTATCAGAAGGAGGGAAAACAGGCCAATTTGCTATGCCAGAAATTAGGGTAGGAACTGCTTTAAAAGATATCTTGGAACTCTACTACTGATAACTAAGCGTTCTGGCACTTATAAATGTGTGGAATTTATCACAGGGAAGAGCGGATATATTTATATTCATATTTTAGTTTGTTACAGAGTTCCTTCTTGGGTGTTGATAAATGAAAGGAAACAGAATGCCAGTGTTTCTCAACAGAGGTACGATTAGCATTAGCGTCAGGTCCTTCTTTATTGCATGGAACTGTTTCACCCATTGTAAGATCTTTGGAATTCCTGGCCCACAAAATGGCAATAGTACCCTTAAGTCATCCTGAAAACAAACAAAATTCCCATACAGTTCCAAATACTCCTAGAGGACCAGAATCATTCCCAGTTATGAGCTATAAAGTAGCTTGTTTGCATCTTATAACTTCCCTGTATCTACATATAAAATGATTATCAGTACCATGTTTTGAGAACTTTGAGATTAAATCTTATCAGTGGGACAATTCAGAACAAGGCAATTCCTCAACTGTCTTGTTCAGGAGCCTAGCCTTTGTGAATGCAGCATGCCCTGCACAACCCCATAAACAGCCCTGCCTACCACCTTCCCATGCTTTACAACATGCATGGACCTACTGCCTTTCCCGGCCCACACACCTACTTACCATGAGATACATGGCCCCAGAAGGGCGGACTGGCTGAAGCCCAGGGATGGCAGCCAAGGCCCCATAGCAAAGATCAGCATTGGACTAAAAGAGGAGGTAGAGAGAATATCAAGGATCAAATTTTAAGTAAAAGAAAAACCACATCATTAAAAGAATCCTCAGTGAAAGATGGAAATTTGGGTTTGATCTTCTGGCATAAGGAGTCAACAAGAAAAACTCTGTCACTTAGAGTTCCTGGCCAAGAGCAGAGTGAGTTACCAGAAGTGAGAGTATGGGTGAATTCTTACATGATGCCATTTCCTGATATTGAAGTTCCATATTAGAATGGTGCTCCAGAAATGTGGATCAGTCATTCCTAATTGCACTGCTGGTATTCTCTGACTCCCAAACTCCCCAAGTAGAAGTCCATAGGCTGCCCTTACCTTGAGGAAGCTTAGTGTGTTGTGGTAGAACTCTTGAGGGGTACGGCGCAGGATGCTTTTCAGAGCTCCCTGGACAATGGTACAGGGTCCCAAGATCCGCTGACTCAGCTTCACCAGCCCATCTCGAATCTAGAAGCCCCCCCAAGAAATGCATTATTCATCTTACTTACGCATCCCTGTTTGGGGGATTCTTATTCTGACCTATCAGGTTTTTAATGCTAGGAAGTAATGTGGCCTAATGACATCTTAGATCAGGTCACTAGGTCTATAGCATAGCTCTGTCATACACCTGCTGGATGACTGTAGGCAAATAATATAACTTCTCTGTACCTTTCTCAACTGTAAAATGGAGTGAATACTAATACCAGCCTCATCAGGTTGTTGTGAGAATTAAATTAAAACTGTTCATAAAGCACAGGTACGTGGTTCACCCTCCAGCACTATTAGTTGTCATTACTGTCATTATTTCCCTTTCTGCAGTCCTAAAACTGGAGGTGGATAGAACTTCTTCACAGAGCCAGATAGTGAAAACTGAACTTGGGAGAGCTATAACTATTCCCATCTTTATCTAGTGTTTCCAGACACCATGAACTATAAAGCCAAGAAGAAAGGGGAGGGGTCCTACCTTCTCACT